CAGTTCCCGAAAGGTCAACTGTCACACTGTAACACAACAATGGTCAACAATCGCGACTTTGGATCAATCATTTCTCTTACATGAAAACATTGGCCATTTTTTCCTGGAAAGAATCGGGGCTTAGGGCTATTTTTGTCTAAATGAAGTAATACATTACTTTTTTCAGTGAAAAAAAATATCTTTTCCGTCTATTCTGTTTCAATTAATATTCCGTTGGCTGAGCAAAATGTAAGTTTGTCTCGTTTTCCATTGCCGACTGAGATTGACTGACAAGACCTGTCGAGATGCATTAAAGATTATTATGGGATATCCCTGAGCAACTTCAACACGGCAAGGCCTACGGACCGACTAAACAGATTTGAGTGAGTAAACTTTCCACTTTGTTTTGTACATCGGGCGAAAAAAGCAAGGAATACAAACAGGGCAATGTTTTCCTATTACCTTGGAGACCACATGCAAAAATTTGGGCGCTTTTGAACGAAAACATCATTTTTCACCCAAAAAAGTCACTTACGTCAGTCTTGCACTAGGCTATTCAATTCTTCAACAGAAACACTATTGTTTAAATAGTGTCAAGAACTGCCAAGATGTGTATGGTGCATATTTCCTTTGAGGCCTTGTTATGGTCAGGAGATAAGATTAAGCTTGTACCCTGGTACGTTGGTGCCACAACCAATCGGGCTGTCGACTTGGGAATAATAGCATTCCGCCGCTTGTTGCTTGACCAGACCACCCTTCTTGATTTCCTTTTTACAGCCATGACATGTGATCTTCTTCTGCTCGTAATTATTGCAGCGGGCTTTGATTTCTATGCGCACTGCAAAATGATCGCAGCCATTGTGTGGGCATCTAACTAGAGCTTTTAGGCAATTCTTTTCATGCCCTCTGGCATGCTCTAGAGTTCCTTTCCACTCACAACGCAGGCTGGAACAGCTCATCTTTACAGTTTTGGACAGCTTGTCTAGGTTTATGTTTATTTGCAAATGGTCTTAATGAAAAATTTCGCGGCAAATCAGACAAAGAGCTGCTGAAGTGGTCGCATTATCTCCCAGAGATACGATTGACCTGAGGCATTTCATACAACCTGAATGTCCACATGCAAGACTCACAGGTTTCATCATCAATTTCCAGCTACAATATTTAGAAAGAAACAGTTATTGAATCTGGATATATTGCTTGGCAGTGTTAAATATTTAATCAGTTCATTTTCAAAACATTAATTCCGTTGTATTTCAAACGGAGAGCTCTTCGATCTGATTCTCTTCTTCTGGAATTCAATGAATGCAGTACAAGCATTTCACTGTCTATTTAAGAGTGAATGTGTCCAAAAATCAAACATTTTCAAAATGTGGTGGCAACAGCCAAAAAATAAATTCTGCTCATATTCTCAGGTTAGGGAGGCCTTAGTGTGAACAAATCACAACTTACTTCATTTGGCTGAATATCGATTTATTTATAAGAAAATAGATAATAACTGAATTCCATCAAAATGGCCCTTTTGGAGCTCAAAATTTAAGATGACGCTCAAAGCTTCACATCACAAAATCAAACAACCTAGACTGTAAAAACTATCAAATCTTGAAAACCAACATCAAAACATATGTTGACAGCAATTTGAGCAATTCTTGTTTATTTATTTACAAAATGTAATTAAATTTATCCAAGCTACTTTTTAACAAACTGAAAATAGGTCAAACAAAATGTGCTATTTAACTGTGTGCTATACGGAATAATTGACTGAAAATCTGGCTTTTGGAAGGCGATAAGTAGTTCTTTTTGATCTCCAAAGGAGTTTTTGCGGAAATGATTCTGAGCGATTTAATCAAATTTGAAAGTTGGATAAAATGTGCCAGTGCGATGGTGCCATTAATTGGCGGGAAATGTACACATGCACACACAAACTCAACTGTTTCGCACTTGAAGTTCAATCTACAATTTATTTAACATAACATCCTCTTACCTTCCTGTCGCTGTATCAAAAAAGAGAGCTTCAGTCCTGAAATTGTTGCATTGTCCACATAAAAGCAAAATGACTTGGTAGAATAGTGCAGGACCACCTCCTGATCATGAGTTGTTTACAAAACGTATTGCGGGGTTTTCTTATTCAAGGTTTCTCTGCACCTGTCTGGTCGTTCGGAAGACACAGTCCTTGAAAACGTCAATAATCCAACTGAGTGCGCTGGTGATCATGACAAGATTGCATCAAACGAGGTATTTTTACATTCAAGTGTTTTCTACATGCTAGAAATTCACCTTAAGGTGTTGGAGTGCAAAGAACATGATTATGCAACTGTATGAACCTATGAGTGAGAACTTCATTCATCTAAGCTCTCTCCTGTACATGTGGTAAATATACACTGGTAATCGTTGTTGTCATTAATGTGGTGTGTTAAAAACTCTAAAGGTCATCCCAATTGAAGAATTCATGGAAAGTCCAATTCTCGAGGTCGAAGGTGATCGAGAGAGCGGCTTATCTTATGACAATGAAAGTGATGTGCCTGGCTCTGACAGTGAAGAGGTATTGTTTGAGTTTTGTTAATTGTATTTATTGTTGTGTTGATACTTGTGTGCAAAAAAGTTGTGAATCACAGTAACATTCATCATAATATTGAATGATTCTATACAAAGTTTGGGAAACCAACCTTTGATAATGCTTAACTGACAATCTAAACATTGTGCTTTTATGAGAGTACAAAGCACGGGAGGTGGAGAGTGCTCTCACCATTAGCTGTCATTTCTTTAATTCATTCATGCACAGTTACTTTCAGGATTCAGATGAGGAAACCACGTAACCTTTGGACATACGTGAAACATTTTCAATACCAGAGCAATATAATTTGTCAGAAATGCCCTCTGATAGTCATCCTCTTCATAGCAGTTCAACATGGACCTTGCTAGAGACTCTAGTTCACCTATTTTACTGGTTTCCTTCCTATCCCTCTATGAGCAAAGAGGCTTTTTCAAGGAACTTGCAGATATGGCATTCAATTTTTCCCGAAGGGAATTGTCTTCCTACATCCTACCAAAGTGATCATTAAGCCCTACCTAGTTCCTGAACTGGTATTTCATGCTTGTGTAAATGACTGTTCTCTTCAGAGGAGAGTACAAAGTACATGCGGAATGCCCTAAATGCAAAGAACCATGCTTTAAACACAGTAATGTTCCATGAAGGATCTTCTGGTACTTGCCCCTTGGCCTGAGACTGGCTAGAAGCTTTGGAACAAAGGACATATTTTATCTACTCCAAAACCACGACAGGGAAAAAGCCTGCCTGGAAACCAAGCAAATGATGCAAGATATCCATGATTCTCCAAAGTGGAAAGAAGCATTTGGGTCAAATGGCAGATTTCAGGGTGACCCAAGAGGTGTTCCATTATCCCTGTCTTAATGGCCTTAACCTGTGGAGTAGAAATAAAACCAATTATTCCATGTGGCCTGTAGTTCTTGGTCAACTTAATCTACCAAGGAGAATAAGAAACCACTTTGAAAATCTTATTCTTGTAGGCATCATCCCCAGCCAGGTAAAAGGAGCAGAGCCTAAACATTTGAACCCTTACCTGGAGGTTCTGGTTGATGAACTTATATACCTAACAGGCTGTAAGCTTTATGATGCTTACCAAAGGGCACCTTTTACTCTGAAAGTTGAAGTGGTTATCTACATCCTAGATTATCAAGGACTGTGGAAAGTTTTTTTCTTAACAGGTACTGGTTCTTTGAGAGGGTGTGCATGGTGTTTGCTAATAGGAGAGTATTGCTAGTATTTGAAGAAGACAGTGTAGACTGGTAACAGCTGATTCTTACCTGTTGAACATGAGTTAAGGAAGGAGAACCACAACATTCCAGTATGGTCAAATGAAACTAGACAGAAGCCAAGTTATGGCAACTTTCAGCAAGACAAGTCTTTTCATGCAGCCTATACACCGTATTCATAAATGGCCACCACGTGGAGCGGCCTAGATTTGAGCGCATGAAAATGAGGCCAGAAAGGCCAAGTGAGTAGATGTGGAGAGCTATTTATGCCGAGTGGTTAGATAAGAAAAACTCAAATTATTTTCAGTTTTCTGTATTTTTCTCGAAAAATTAGACAAAACCAGAGGCCAGTCCAGGTATTTGGTCAGAAGTGCTTTTCAGCATCCCCTAAAATGCCAACGCATTGCTGCGTTCCACTTTGCACTAGGAAAGGATATCGTGAAGAAGAGACCAGAGAGAAGGTATCTTACTTTAAATTTCCAACCCAAGAAAAAACACGAAAGCAGTGGATACATGCTATTTGGAGAGATGAGGGGAAAGATTTTCAGATATCAAGTACAACAAAGGTATGCTTGCGGCACTTTAAGCCGGATGATTTGAAGAAGAGCTTAGATGGTGTGATTTCATTAAGACAAGGGGCTGTTCCTTCTGTTTTCACTTGGAAACGAAGCTCACCTCGCAAGCGACCGCCTCCAACGTCTCGTATCTCCAGTACGGCCACTTCTGTGTCACGGAAGATAAGCAAAACTATCGCTGAAGTTGTTGAGGCTTCCTGTTCGAGGGAAATTGTGGAGGAATCATCCAACTTACATGTCCATACGACAAGCACAGAAAGTCACCTCGCTCCGGAAATGGAAGAATTTCCATCAGCTGTAAATGATTTGCAGTCCGAAGAAAATCAAGAAATTACACGACTGGAGAAACTGTTAGCCGAAACTATTGAAATAAAAGAAAAATTAGAATTGGAGGTGTCATCTTTAAATCAAAAATTGGGATAAACTCGAAAAACACATGTTTTCATTTGAGAACATCAAAACAGACTACTCATTGTTAACATTTTATACTGGGTTTCCAAATGTGCAGACAATGATGGCTCTATATGAGTATTTAAATCCAGGTGTCAATGGAAAAAATATTAAATACTGGTTGTCAGGCCAAGAAGATTCCCAAAAGGCTGCAGTTGGTAACTTAGTTAAGCAAGGAAGGCCAAGGACTTTGTTACCTCTAGAAGAATTTTTCCTGGCAATGTGCAGACTGAGGCAAGGTTTTGCTGAGGTTCATCTTGCACACTTGTTTAAAGTATCACAGTCTACTGTAAGTAGAATATTTATTTCTTGGATTAATTTTATGTATTTGAAACTTGGCCAGATCAATATCTGGCCCTCCAGAAAAGCTGTGGATGATTCTACGCCTGAGGCCTTTAAAGAGAAGTACCCCAGTACAAGAGTGATAAATAACTGCACAGAGGTGTGCTGCCAACTGCTAAGCAGCCTTTTGTTGAACAGTGAGCTATTTAGCTCGTACAAGAGTCACACCACTCTGAAAGGACTAATTGGAATTTCCCCTAAAGGGTCAATAACATTCATTGGACAGCTATGCACTGGCAGTATATCTGATAAAGAAATAGTGGAACGCAGTGGTTTTTTGAAACTACCCTTTGAAAATGGAGACTGTGTAATGGCCGACAAGGGTTTTACAATTGAAGATGTGCTTCCCCTGGGAGTGACCCTTAATATCCCCCCATTCCTTGGAATGTCTGATCAAATGTCTGCTGAAGATGTTATCAAAACACAGGAAATTGCAAGTTTGCATATCCATGTTGAAAGGTCCATCAACAAAGTAAAGAACTTTTTAATATTTGACGGGGTTATGCCATTAAGCCAGTTTGGAATAGTAAATCAAATGTGGTGTGTGTGCTATGCTTTGTAATTTCCAAGATCCTATCATTAGTGTTTAGTGAACATTTGGTACTTCATAATAGTTACATACCTGAACAGCTTGCATTTTGAGCAGCACAGGCAAACTTATACGTACAATTAATGCCAGGAAAAAAAAGGAATTTGAATGGTCACTTCCAAGGTGGTTTTATTGAATCAGTACCATATATTAAAGTAGCAATGTTGTTTTCATCCAGGACAGTGATTTTATTTGAGCAAAGAGATGCTGTTTATCATAACCCCTTTGTATTACCCTGTCACAGAACCATGTAATTGTAAAGATTGAAGGCAGGTCAAAATGGGAAAGCAGAGAAAACTGTTGTCATGGATTTAAATTGTAAGCTGGTTGCATTGCATTATGACTGTTTAGGCAATTTTGACTTGCAGACTTTCATACAATTGACAAAGTCTTGTAACAGGGTCATGCAGAGCCAAGCACTTGTTGAACTTAAAAATAATCCACACCTTTTTCTCTGACATAATTATCAGTGTAAAAGTTATATAGCATCGTGATTCCATTATTGTATTATCGACATCATTTTCACGCATGCACTTGGAAAACAACAGAGTTTTCCCATCTTAAACTTGTAATTAAAGTCAATAGAAATTAGAAAAAAGGAAATTGCAACAATATATTTATTGCCTATTGAGGCAAAATGATATGAAACCTTGATTGGGAACACAATGAAAACCCCACAGGAAAATTTTATTGTTTTGTTCGAGTGGTTTGTGCAATAAATAAAACTAATGATTTACAGCAAAGCAATACCATAAACAATACCCAAACCATGGAGCAATAGCTAACCAAGTAACATACTTTTGTATGGTAGAGTTTCAACAACACCAAGATATACCAAAAAATGGGAGTTGACTTGACAAAAAAGAAAAGCATAAAAATGAAGGCCCAGATAACTAGAATGAATATATGTGCCTGCAATGAATGAGCTATTTACAAATTGATTTGTGCTGTTTCCTTTCAATGATCATAAAGCCAGAACATAAGCTGCTAAAAAATTATTTACCTTTACTGAAAAATGAGGAAAGCAAATAGCCTCCAAATGATCTAATTGTGTGTGATTTACAACAAGGAACCCGAGAGTCTGACATACTTTCATTGAGTTGTGTAAGCCAATAAGAAGCCAAAAATGTTATCATAGGCTTCTGAATGGATAGTCTGCATGCATGAAAGAATGTAAACTAATTAAAAGTGGTTACACTTTTGGCCTTCGTGCTGTAATTTAGTTTTGATTTAACATTTTTCAAACCAGTTTAATTTTTCTTTTCCATTTTTCATATTCACTAATTGAAGCAGAGGAAATGACAAATCAAACTGCTTTGCAAAATTCTAAACCTAAACTAAATTGTAAATACAACATTGACAATTAGTAGTAATACTTACTTTACAGACTGAATAACACCCGAGTAAAAATCCCTGAAAACTGGCAGTTACACTGACTTTGATGCATGCTTAATAAAGTGGGTAAGATAATACGATGAAAGCTTTTGCCTTAATTCTGCCCAGTAATCAGGTTCAAATACAATCCTTTCCACACAAATTCCTTTCTTGGTGTATATAATGAAATCACACCAGGATGCTCCAGTTACTCCCATCTGGCCTTGAACTTGGACAAAGTAGGCATGATCTCTCTTGAGCTTGCAGTGTCCATTGAGAGCCTCACAACAAAATGAAGGATCTTCGAAAGCTTCCAACACGAGTGTTCCGCACGGGCAGCTTAAAGACGGCAGTCTGTTCTTTTGTATGGCAGCATGAAAATGTAAAAAGTTAGCGCTCGCATAAAATGTCAGGCGCGCCTTTTGGCGGGAAATTTGTTAGTGTGACGAATGTTGCAAATAAAATCAAGTGGTTATTTTTAACGTCAAAGCCCATTTAAAATTGTTTTGTTTGGGAAATTTGCGTGGTGAAATGTCTTCACGGAAATGTTACGTTTGTAACAGCAAAACAACTGCCTGTTGGCTCCGTATTTCTGAAGAAATCGTGGAAGATGTACGGAAATGCTTCAACGTCAAAGAAATTGAAAGCCAGCAAGACCTATGTGCTTTGTGTAGACGAAATTTAACTTGGTGGTGTGAAGGCCCAGCAAACGCCAGCAAATATTTCGTTTCAGTCAATTCAAGAGGACAACCCTGTATTAACAGATCGACAGTAGCTGGAAAAAATCGCAAGACTGCGATACTGCGAAGCACTTCGCTTTCCCATGAGTTATCGCTTCTTGTTACTTTGCCTGAAGACTTGTTTTTGTTTATTGCTGGGTTTCTCAGCGTGTCAGACGTTTCAAGGCTGTGACAGACTTGCAGCTATGCAAATCAAATTTGCCAGGTCAACATCCTCTGGAAACTCTTGTTAAGACGCGACTTCCCCGAACAGCTGAGTCATCTCGACAAAACAGTTCTTTCCAACTCTTTTCTTTCTTACAAAGTTCTCTTCAAGTCTAAACACTCATGGGAAGGTCATCATGCAGCGATTTCCGACCGTGTTAAAGAGCTCGCTTCAAAGGAAATAAAACTGTTGGAGGAAAACCAAGTTGCCCAACATCGCTTTAGCAACCTAAAAGCAAAGCTTCAATCACTCCAGAATGATCAAGATCCAAGAACGCCAGTCACCAAACTACAAGAGCAGGTAAATTAAATTTCATCAGTCTATAGCATGCAGAGCGGCTACAGCATGTAACCAGATATGTGACCCTATTTTGGAAAAAGAGGTTAAAGGTGAAAAGAGAAAAACGTGTTTATTCACGTTTCAGACCAAAACGCGTTTAAACACCGTTTAAACGGGCTAAAAAAATGTTTAAACCCATTTACAAAATGTTTTAATGCATTTTTCCTTTGGCGAATGTTTTCTTTAAATGACCGTTTAAACGCAATAATTTATTTAACAGTAAAGCTGTTATGACATTATTCAGCATTAACATTCCCACGCCTTTTGAAATCATGGCATTAGAATTATTATGCCAAGCTGGTTTACTGGATGGTATGGAAAACTTATTTTCGCCATCATTCTCGGTCAAAGTGGAAACTTATTGTTTGGTGAAAATACAAAATAATGATATGAACGCTTCTTAATATCGTACTAAAAATGTAGTGTAAGTTATGNAGATCCAAGAACGCCAGTCACCAAACTACAAGAGCAGGTAAATTAAATTTCATCAGTCTATTGCACGCAGAGCGGCTACAGCATATAAATCACACAACCTTTTAATATTGTACAATTGAACTGAATGATATTGTAATACCCAAGTCCACAGTTGAGACAGATAAGTTGCTGGGGTAAAAATTGGTTTTATAGGTATTTGTGGACAGGATATGCGTCATCGACTTTGTTGCGGATAGCTACCGTCAAATTATTTCAATTCTTACATATACGTTATCTCAAATTTGTGAGAAACTAAAAGAAGGAAGGCATCTGGCCTTGTTACTCCGTTCATTAGACTCTCCATAGAGGGTAATCTGGGTGTCAAGCTTCTGTTAGAAATGCTTGTTTTAAAAGATATGGACGAAGTTTCACGCGCGGACATTTCGTCTATCAACAAACGAAGTCGAAATGTTATCAAAATAGGCCTTAACTCAAATGTTTGATAAAGAAATCCACGTCACATCCCCAAACTG